GAGGACCGGAACGGACGGTCCAGACTTCCACGTGGACCGTCCGTTCCAGCTCTGCAGAACGGACGGTCTTCCTTCGGTAGATCGTCGAGTCTGGACCTAACGGACCGTCGGGTCTGGCCCTTCTGGTCCGTCCGGTTTAGACCCTTCTGTCTCGATTTTTCCGTCGTTTTCTCGTGCGTTGTGTCATTCCCTGCGTGTGTGACCCTGTAGGCTCATTCGATATAGCAGTATAACCCGAAATCTCTATTTCGGATATACAAGTCATAGGCGCAGACGAACCCAAAGATTGAAACAAAAATAGTATATATATATATATATATATATATTATACATCAGTTATATGTCAACCGTAGACCTCTCTTAATGGATACAATATGCGTAAGTCAATAATAACATACGGAGAATTTCTCTATATACATCTGTATATTCATCACGTAAACATATTATGATTTGATTTGAATCAGATTCTAGTTTCCGTCGTTTCAATGAAACAAACTAATTAAGAAACTGAGTCGATTTTCGTTACTAAACCCTCATTCTCTACTAAACGATGCGTAAAACACTTTCAACCGACCAGCAATTCGTGTCGTCTTTGCATTTGACACATGGACAACGTGCTGTCTTTTTAATCCTTGAATGTTAAAACACTTTCATTATGTAATTTGCCTTTTATCATAACATAGTTTATATATGCATGGGCGGATCTACTCGTTAGAGAGTGGGGCACGTACCCCCGTGATATTAGAACAAAAAAAAAATGAATTTCTTTATAAATTTAACAAAAAAAATTTAAAAATAGAGATTATACCCCCATTAAATAATTTTTTTTTTATTATATGCATCCGCCATTGTATATGCATGAATGAAACATTAATTAATTATCTATTATACATGTGAAATTAATATACGCATCATATAAATATTTCAATATATATATATATATATATATATATTTTACTAGAGAATTATTTTATTGTTATTTAGGTCGATTATGGTTTGTTTATCATTATGTGGATATATTCAGCTCAATATATTTAAAATTAGATCTAAAATATATTTACTAAAATGAAAGTAAATAGATATCTATATACAGAAATCGATGATCCAACGATATTATTGACTTGAAATATAACTTCTTATGTGTGAATTTCTACATTATCAATTTCATCAGTATTAGAATTATATATATTTTCCGATTAAGAAGCAGATATTGCACCCAATCCGAACTGATCGAAAGGTAGGAGTGTCTTTATCCCAAATCTCATGTCCGAATGTCCGTTGGAGATTAAGGATATAATTTAATTGTAATAATACTGATTTGCGGTTTAAGATGAATATAGTTGGTCTAACACAATAACCAATATGAATAACAAAATATATATATATTTTTTGATAATTCGGAAGTTCACCGAAATTTTTGACCCGACTACATCTTCCAGAGGACTGGGGAAGTCCAGGTGAATGCCCCTCTCCACGTTTGGGTTTGAATCTAGGGTGAGAGCATGCTTTACATGTTCTCTCGCCACTAGGCCACCCAAACTTGGGTAAAAAGATTCGTGAAGTAGCGGAGCATGCCCACATGCATGCATCTGTATATCCATGCATGATAGATGCAGATGCATGTATGCATGTGTATATACACTCAAGAAAAGCTGTATAAACTGCGCAAAGCTGTGGTGGTGGAATCGAGCGATGACGTGTCGGATTACGATTGGATAAACTCGTCGTGAAGGCAGATGGTCAAAATACATTTAAAGAAATATGTTGGAATGAAATATATAATTTAATATGAAATATTTCGAGGAATTACATTTTAAGGAATTACCAGAACGAAGTGGTGGAGTGGTGCGGGGTTTGTCTTTCGAAGGCTTTTTGCCTTTTTGATGGAAACATTATTGAACAAACCCTATATTTGATAAAGATTTGTCTCGAACCAACAAAAAAAAAACATTCTTAAAGAGTTATATACATATATATATATATTTAAAAGGAAATTAATCGAAGTATAATATTCTTGTGAGATGTAATTTAACAATTTTATAATTTATTTTTTTGGAATAAATTGTTTATTACAATCCTATTTTTATGCGTGTGATCCAAAATAATCCTAATCTAATATGTTTATTTATTTTTCTTTATCATCTATTAAGTTAATATCTATTTTGCTTTATTCTTAAGGAAAAAATTTGTTTTAATCAGAAACGTCATAAGAATCTCATGGAAACATGTTATATATACATATATATATATATATATCGCAACAATAGAAATAAAATGCCGCAAAGAATGTGAATCAACATCTAAATAATGTTATAAATTTATAACATATATATACATATACATATTATAAATTTGTTTTTATATTATATAAAAAAAACATCTAAATAATGTCTAAAATGGGGATAGATAGATGTAAAGATATAGTTGCAAGGATTAAATAAGTGTACGAATAAACAAGGTTGAATTTTTTAAAAAAATGTCCAAATAACAAAGATAAATTGCTTTATTTTTTTATATACAAAAAAGAAAAATTCGTCTAGAAGTGAATAGGAGGGAAGCTAACACTTTGAATGCAGCTATTTCTGTT